AATTAAAAAAAAAAAAAAAAAAATTATTAGTTTATCCTTTTTGACGAATGGGTTAACAGAAGCAAAATGGTTGTCCAGTGTACAGCTTGGTGTATGTGCATACTCCAGGCCTTATCATGAGGGTTACTCCACATGTATACTTTGACCCTTGCTTTAGGCTTTTAGATTAAGCGCGGAGAAAAATAAAAGTGGCTCCAAGTTAAGCTCAAGATTTATAGAAAATGAAAATAAAAAAGAACTTCCCATGGAACCTGTGCTCTGTATGGCAGAGTCATTGTTATGTTGGGGTCGATACATGTTTACCCCAACATGTATGGGCCTTGGCAGTTGGAGACACCAGTTGGGATCACATCACAATAACAAGATATTTGAGACTTGGCCGGATTGGGTTCTTTTTTACTATTTCAAGGTTACTATAATCGCACGGAGCACAATAATATTAGGAAATGCTCTGGGATCAATGGTTGGTAGGTGTACAGTCACTAAATCAACTCGGAATTTCGGAACCTTAACTAGTTATTAACTCATTCACCTATTGTTAATAATAGAGCAAGAACTAATTCGCTGTGTCGCGCATATAAACACCTTTCGTGCATGCCAGCTTCACTTCATCAGTGCTGCACTAATTGAGTATATATCCCCCGTCCACAACCAAGGCATGGCCCTGCACAAAAGATGCGAAAGAGGAACATAAGAACAGCACAGTATCTGCGACTTCGTCTGGTTGCCCCATCCTGCTCATTGGGGCAATACCCACGGCGGGCCTCAGTCTCTCACGAATTTCTTCGCTGTGTGTGGTTAACGGTGTCTCGATTATACCTGGGCAGACACAATTCACTCTGATATTATCTTGTGAATAGTCTATAGCGTCAGACCGTGTCATGGCTATTATGGCAGCTTTGGAGCTACAGTAGGCAGCTGCAGACGTCAGTGAAACCATTACGCACTGAGAGCGGCGGAAAGAAAAGAAGGCATTGACTCACGAGCCTTAGAACGGCCAACCAACCCTAACTGGCTTGCAATATTGACCACAGCCCCCCTCTGAGGAGGGCGACTGGGATCATGGCTCGGTAGTGGCTCCTGATTGATCATCTGTCTCAGTTCTGCCCTTGAAGATAGCCAGCATCCTCGATAGTTGACATTGTTGATTTGGTCAAAGGTCTCCGTCGACATTTCTGTCGATCGCAGAGCATCTCCGAGGATTCCGGCGCAGTTCACTGCGTAGTCCAACCGACCAAAAGTATGGGCAACTTCGCCAATAAATGAGTCCACGAATTGTTCATCGGCGATATTTCCCGCTCGGACGACGAGGTGAGCTTGAGGGTAGGAGCTAAGGATTGCTTGTTTGGTTTCGTCTAACGAGATCGGGTTAAGGTCTGTGATCGCGATTCTGTCACAGCCCGCGGAGGCAAAACTTCTTGCAACTGCTGCTCCGATACCTGGGGGGCATGTTAGCCATACAAACCATAGGAGCTTCGCGATATCTTATCGCACCAGTCCCACCCGCTCCAGTGATGACGGCCACACCAGGAAATGTATAAGTGCGCGCCATGAATCCGCTCGGAGGTTGTCTCGAGCTCAGCTGTGGGAACTTCTTGCCAGAACGAAAGAAAAATGGATATATACTACTACCTATACACAGTAGTATCCAAATACATGAAGAATGCCCAATGAAGCCGATCGGGTTGTTGTTATGTTGGAGTCAGCAAGCCGAAGTGGGGCTGCCGGAGTGGCGCTAGTGTTGGGGTCAATCTTTCTCTCTTGTTACTTTCCCTCAAACTCCATTCAACCTCCTCCAAGTCAAAAGTCCACCAACCCACCCCCGAACCCCCCCTTGCATGCAATTGTCTCCAAGTGGGGAGCTATACCTATCCGAATCGTCTGTGTGTTACTTCCCCAAATGTCTTGATGCTGTCACAATCGTCCTCACCTCAACCTCGGGGCAATCGTCGCTCGAGTGTTGGAGCAAAAGCTCGTGTCTGCGATCATTGCGGACGGACATTCAGGAGAACGGAACATCTGGAACGGCACGTACGCACTCGTAAGTTGGACCCCGCCCTCGTGGAAAATCCAAGTAATAAATTACGTCGGATGTCGCATTGTCCGCCGTAAGTGGCCCATTATTAAGGATTCTTGTGCAGATACAAAGGAGAAGCCGTATGTCTGTTTCTGCGGGGCTGCATTTACCCGACGGGATCTGCTAAAGCGCCATACGCGCATTACCCATGAGAATAATTTGATATCGCCGACCTCACAGTCCCAGCAAGAAGCTACAGGGCAGTCGATTGTGCGGCGTACACCAGACCCTCCGGTAACTCAGCCGTACAATGTACAACCTGCACCACGCCCGGATATTCCTCTCGTACCACCTCCCATGGGGCAGTGGTCCGGGCCACAGCACGGACCGTACCTGGAGCAGAGCCAGAGCATGCTTAATGCAGGTGGTAATAGTTCAGGCTTAGGCCCACATCCTGCAGTAACTCATGATGCGGACATCTTACAGGCTGCTCAACTTCTGCTTCCTGGTAGCTTTCGGGACGCCCAGCCCCCTCGTAAGTATCATCCACCACGGTCCTCAGATAGGCATATGGCTAACCCCTGTCTAGCCCAGCCCTTGCCGTATCTTCCGGAGGAGCTTAATCATTTCCAAGAATTCACCCATTTCTTGGACTCCATTGGATTGCCTTCAGAATGGGTTCCCGCCCTGAGGGAAGTACCGCAGGTCAGGGCACAGTTCCTGCGGACGTGCCTGACCCGGTCAGGAACCCTAGAGAGCCGCAACAGGGTACCTCTCGTCGGAGCCAGGCGGAGCGCTCGCGCGCTGATTCGCCCTTCCGATCCTGGCTACCCTCGGTACCTTCTGAAGATCAAAGCTTAGGAACGGTTTCCGACTATGGTGAGCAGACCACCGAGTTCTGTTGAGATCCAGGTTACTAACTTTCTCTCTAGAGCCTCCTCAACATTCCACAAAGGTCATTCCACCGAGGGTTAGCGAAGAACAGCGGCTACGTCTTGCCGCTTCCCTAGAAGAGCATCGCCACCTTATCCCTGACTTCGTCCTCCCGTCGCGGCATACGTTAACAAGGTATCTGACATCTTTCTTTGATGGATTTCATCCTCATCTACCATATCTACATCTTCCAACACTGCGAATCAATGAGCGCGCCCCCGAGCTTGTTTTAGCCTTGATGACAATAGGTGCCCAGTATCGGTTTGAGCACCGGAACGCAGAACGGCTTTTCTATGCTTCCAAGGCAATTGTATTGCATAAACTGTCAAAAGAAACACACGCCCCATTGGCAACATATAATGGTATCATCCAAATACCGTTAGATAGCATCCGTGAACTATCCCAACAAACAGGTCAAGCTACAGCACTCTCTCCTTCGGAGAATGATCTCGGAATGATTGCGTGGAGACAAATCGAAACCATTCGCACCCTGCTCACCTTAATGGGATACGCCACATGGGAGAAGTCTGAACTGGTTCAAGAAGCTTTTAGTTTACAAGGCCTGTTGGTGCGGTGCCTGCGCGAATTCGGCTTAACTGAAAACATTACGGTTGCCCCAAGACACTCACCCATGCAGTGGCATGAGTGGGCGGAAGAAGAATCAATTCGACGTACTAGGTTCATTTCCTTCTGCTTCGTCCATGTCCATAGTATAGCGTACAACATCTACCCGGTACTTCGCAGCAGTGAGGTCCATTTGCGACTACCCTGTTCCACGAAGGAGTGGAAAGCGACCACCGCCCAGGAATGGGAGCTTGCTCAGAAAGAGGTCGGCGCTCAACAGCTGTTCTTTCAGGACGCTCTAGCACTCTTACTACAACCATCGCGGACGACAGTCCTGCTAGATCCGATCCCTGCGCCACTTGGAAACTACATTCTTCTTCACGGTCTTCTTCAGCGCATCCATCTTGTGAGTGAGCTCTCTTTACCGACCGGAGATCAAGCCCTTGCGCTACCGACCGAAGAGCTGAATAAACTCGAGTAAGTTGCCCCTATCTTATGTCTTTTGGTCAGCCATTGACGTTCCTCACTAGGAGAGCTCTCCGGTCCTGGACTTCAGTTTGGCAACAAGCCCCAGAATCGAGCCTTGATCCTCACAATGATAACGGTCCCATCCCCTTTACTTCGAGTTCACTATTAGGATTAGCCTACGTGCGCCTTTCCCTGAATCTGGGGCCATACCGCCAACTCGAGACAAGGGACCCATACCGTATAGCCTCTGCTTTGCACAGATCGCCTCGGCCTGGAAGAAGCTATCGACTGACTCCTGCACTTATATATTCGGCGCATGCGCTAAGTATCCCTGTGCGGCTTGGAATCGATCATGTTGCGCGCAGTCAAGCGTTCTTTTGGAGCGTCCGCCACTCGATTGCCAGTCTTGAATGTGCTGTCCTCCTCAGCAAGTGGCTTCTCTCTTTAGCAGAGACGGGGACTGATCAGAATTTGAGTGGTATGTACACATGGGTTAATCATCAGGATTTACAATGCGGGTTAGCTAATTTCGATTCGCCTAGATAATGAGAGTCGAATATTGAACTGGACACGTTGTATCGTCGAAGAAGCATATTCCTCGATGGACTTGGAAGACTGGGAAACCGTCCCTAGCTTGGACCCTGCCAGCCTTGGACTTGCAGTCATCAAGCTCTGGTCCCGCCTATTCCGAAAGAACACGCAGTGGCCGTTTATCAATGTTCTTGGAGAGAGTCTTGAAAAATACCTGACATTGATCCGGCCGGGCTGAAAGATTAGCATATGTCTTGGTATCCAGTATAGAGGGCGCTACTTGCCCCAGGGTACAATACCAGGCGGGTCGACAAATGACCTAAAAACAAAGCGACATCGGTAACTTCGGTTCTACCGCGTGTTCTTCAGCTCATACTAGGGTCCCCATGTGGGCCAACTCGACCTACTGAGCACTGCCTCCCCGTTCAATCGGTGATATTGTGGCCAAGCCAAGTACGGATGCAACGTCACGCATATATCTGGATAGTTGAGAGCCCTATTCTGACGAGCGCCCAGCTTGTTACACTATCCCAGTCCCATAAGATTCGGTAATCTTGGCGCATCGCGGGTCGAGGGTGCGCCTGAGGAGATAGGCATGGGTATTCAGCAGGACACCTTAAAGTCACGTATTGTCTTAAATCCAACTCAGATCGGCGGAAGATATATTACCTGTGATTTGGCGCTGTCGGAAAGCTTCAAGATTACCTTATCGGGATACTTATTGCTCGACGAAATCCCCACTGAGTGCAGGCGAAAGCATGTGCTATACCAGCATGGCACGTATATAGATATGGACATACCAGCATGTGCAGGTCTTCGGTCATACCCATAAGTACCATGGAGGTAACAATGGTGGGTGCCGGCACAGTTTCCTGGATACATATATACGCACCTAGTTATAGTTAGGAGTGCACTCCAGAATTATTATTAAGCGAGTGGTTGTTCTATGTTAACAGACGTTTGTTGGCACTTCAACCTTATGTACAGGCTTCATTGTGATCATGGATTGTATTTCAGACAATTGGAAATGATTTCAGAGTATAGATATAGCCTTGGCATTGGTATACTAGATATTTAGATGGATGAGATAGAGTCAATTTAGAATCAATACTAAGGTAGGGTAAGGAAGGAGATTAAAGGGGGAAGAAAGCAAAAAGAAATAAAAAAGAAAAAGCCGAATGTGAATATCAAGATAACCCAGCCAGGGTAAAAAAAAGATGTTGACGAGAGTGGGATTTGAACCCACGCCCCTTTCGAGACTGGAACCTTACTCCAGCTGAGAGATTATTAGTGAATGTTTGAGAAGATGTGAGATTGATAGTGGTACTAACCGCCTTAGACCGCTCGGCCATCTCGCCTATTGGTTGTAGAGTTGATTGATTTGTGGTTTCTTCAATGCAATGCAATAGCACCCATTCTATGCCATCGCTTTGTAAGACAGGAAAATTTAATGCACTTTTTACATTTGCTTTCGAGTTTTAATTGCTATTTGTCTTCGTTTTGTTTTATCTTGTTTTACCTCCTTTTACCTTGTTTGGTTCAGCCTTGGGTAGAACTTCTGAAGGGAATGTGGAGTTAGGAAGGGAAGTGGAGTAATGAAATATAGAATTGGCGGAAGAGGATAGTGATTTGTTGCGCAAGGCTGGGTGTCGGGTAATAGAACAGCCTGATATCATGATTTCCACTCAGAAACCCAAGACGTTACGACCATCGAATTCATCGGGGTTCAGACAGGGCGATCGTCCGTTTCCCTTCCCTTCTATTGAGGGCGATGTGTAGGACGGCATCTGTGGGACTCCAGGGTCAAATTAGCTCTGTGCACGAGTAATATGCTTCCAGGTAGCTAAGTTAGTCGAACATGCTCGAATCTTTGATATAGTGACGTAGGATGAGTGCTTAATATAGCTGCACCATTCCCATGGAACCGTGACTGTTGGCATTTATGAGGTCTGGACTCTGGGGTTGATGTTTGCCGCGGCTGTCGGTCCTCCGATGAATTGCCCAGCAAGGGAGTGAAAGGAACCGTCGTCTCGGTAATTCGTATGTAACATCTATAGGGATCTGGAGTAAGGCGAAACGTGGAATGCGGCAGGCCCAATGACCAAGCCGCAGTATCAGGTGATAAGGGCCCCGTGACTGAATATGACCTATCCCCTTCGGTCTGTTCATCATTTCCAGGGTCTTAGTGCTTCCCATCCCCCAGAGGAAGGTTTTATTTTCCCGATATGTTCTGGTTGAGACCAGGATAGGAGATGGAAATAATGCAAGGACAAACGATATTCCCCGAGAGAGAGGACCCGGTGCTGATTTTCGTTTGTACCCCAGCTGGTCAACCAATCACTCGGAGGAGGAGCCCTACACCCGCGTCCATGTAACTCGTTCCAATCTAGGTCTGACAAGACCCTCGGACAGATGTGGCTTGAGGTCTTTCATGATCCTTTAAGAGGAAGTGGATCACCAATGACACCTAGGAACTGAACGGTGAGCCGGTCATTTGACGGGAAGCCCATCCCACACCCAGCCTCTGATGGATATCCGCTGTCTGTTGCTGCTTAGTTCGGCCCCATTTCGTGGAAGGGGGCCTGAATAGTTATGTCTAGAATTCCGAGGGATCCAATAAAGAGCAATGAGAGTGTCGACGAAATACTACTAGTAGTAGTGCGGTGGCAAAGCATAAACCAATTGTCGCGTTAACATTTCAGGACATCTCACAATCATGACCTAATAGTCCCCAGGACTTTACCCGATGTGGACAAAACTACTAGAAATGCGGCCCAGAAGTGTTTAGTCTACGACGACGGACTGATTCTTCATGTACTGTACATCCCTCGCTCATTACCTTTGGTATTTACTTCAGGTGGACCGCCCTTTGTTCACCGTTTGCTCTTTAATCTCCTCTTGGACCAGTAGGAGCTCGTGGGAACGGCAGCTATCCAATGGTGCCATGATACGGCAGTAGCTTTCTTTCTCTTCTTTCTTTCTTTCCTTCCTTTTCTTCCTTTTATTGAACGCCTTTTATTCCACTCATCATCCACTTTGGTCATCCTCTCACTCTGCATACAGCATACGGTAAGACCAAAACAACGGGTAGGGCGACAAAGAGCGAGATCGTCGCTTGTTCTGCCTGCTTTAGCCCTCGCCTCGCCTGTCTCGAAACTACTGCATCTGCAGACTTCAACTGCGGCTGAAGAACGGTGTGAATATCTTGCGGGCCGAGTGGATAGCTTGGCAAGGGACGCTTGATTGCTTCATTGTGCTGCGAGGAACTTCAGGGTTTTACTCGGCCTTTGACAACGTGCCCTTGCAGTGGCTTCCCCAGACTAGCCAACGGTTTTGTCCCAATACGAGAGAGGGTATTCCACCTCTCATTGCACCTCTCTCTCTAGTAGTTATCGACCAAGTTTACCATTGGTTGTATCGCTCGCTTCCCCCTGCGTTGGTTGTGCTCTTTTCCACACCCCTCAATTCACCGCCAGGCTTCTTATCTGTGAATGCATTTCTGTTACCGCCATCGCTCCTTGGACATCCTTCTCCCAAACATGCAGCCACAACCTTCCCCCCGGACCATGTAGTTTCTGCGATACACTTCACTTGCTCCGTACTTACCTCTCGCCAAGTTTACCCCCACCTTGCGCTCAAGATGGAGTCTCTCCCGAAAGGCTTGGTGTCGACAACGAGGAAAGTGCCGTCGGAGCTGGACGACAGGAATATCGTGGATACAAGCGATGTTAGGCGACTGTGGAAAGGTAGCCCACTTCCTCCGATGTAGCGATAAGCTGACTCAGATGTTGCAGTATACAACACTCACCCTTCGGTCCATGAAGGCGACATTGGATACCGACTGGAGAACTTCTTCTGGAGGATTTGGAGTAGCGATCGACTTTGCGGCTCGTTGGACGGATCCACGCTGGCCAAACTGTTTCAACAAATATCCGAGTCTAATCCAGTATCGAGCTTTGCCCTTCAGCAGTTGAAGAAAGTGAGCAGACATAGCCCTACGACATTAAATCAACCTTCCCATGGTATAGACAAGAGACACTAATTTCGCCATCCAGGAAAGAGCGTCTCCTGCTGGAAGAGGAAGCGACGATAAACTGCAAGGGACGCCGGGCAATAGCGCCAGGAGAGCGCCTCTACAGCCCATCTTGAAAAAATCAAGTGCGCCCTCGGGGGACACACACAAAACAACTCGGTTGCTCCTTACCGGTCTAGAAGGCCAGAGCATTACGCGCAAACCATCCAACCCCCCAACTCCCGTTCCACAATCACAGCCTCTGGTGGGAGACTTTGATCGACCTGTTCCGAAGCCTAAGACCGTTTTTGTAAAAGGGAAGAATACCAAGCGTCGGCCGGTGATCATGCGACGCAAATCATCACAAACATCTTCCGGTGCAAGTACCCGTACCCAAAGCCCACAACGCACTGCGAAACTACTGACCCTGGGAGCTCGGACAACACCGTCCAAGCAGGAAGAATCCAGTGATTCTGAGGCTGAGGCAGTGCACATAGAGCGTAAGTCGCCGTTTCAGGGCTAGGAAATCACCCTCTAGGGAAGCTCCCCTTCAATTCCTAACTGCTCCATAGATGTCGTACCTCGTGAAAAGAGCAGTGATACGACCGACAAGCCACCCGAGCTGCCACCAGAGTTTCTACGCAACCTAAAAGAAATCCTCACCAATAAAGGACCAGACCCGCAGAGTACCCAACCGACGCCCCCCAAATGGGGCTTTGTTACCACGGACGATTGGACCCACTACGATGTAAGATATCTATCGGCGGAGAACTATGAACAGCCGTCATCAGAGTCGCTGGTTGATAAGGGCTTTCGTTCCCGCTTCACGGAGCAAGTTGGCTTGGAAAAAGAGTATCTGGCCAAGTCCGTGGGAGCGAGCTCGAAAGACGGACTACTGCAGTTTCTTCAGTCTAGATCTTTTGAATTCAAGGCCAGTGATGCATCTCATGCCCAGTCGGACTCGACTGTAGATACACCCACCACGAGCGCCGGCATCCCAATCCCAACACCAAACACTGATAGTTCTACAACATTCTCTACTAACAGCCTTGGTCGCGCGACATTTGGAGGCTTCCCAACTCTATTGACACCCTTCTCACTGACGCGCGGGCGCAGCAGCTTAGTCTGCTCATTGAAGAGCACCGGAAAAAGCAATCGGCAGGAAGTGATCCAGTGGGCAGTGACGAACAGCAGTGACATAATGCGGACACCTGGATAGCAGCTGTCGCCTTGGACGAGGACACTGGGTACCAGAGATTTTTGAGAACCAAGACGTAGCTTGGGGCTAATAAGAGATTCAGGGTCTATGATATGTATTAACGAAGACCAAGAGCAAGTAGAATACACGGCAAATATCATTTCCGCACCCAACCACCTCATGTATACAAACCACCCCCCATGAGACCAGCTCACCTCCCACATAGAACCCAAGAAGAAAAGAAAAAGGTCCCCATCATTAAGCAGGAGCAACCTCCTTCTCCCCAGTCTCCAGACCACCACCAACCCCCCGTCCACCGCGTAACCTCCACCACCTCAGTCCCTCGATGACCATGCCCCCAACCCAAAACACCAAGTTCACCAAATCCACCCAAACCGCATGCCTCATCCTCTTCGTTTTCTCCACCTCCTCCTCCGACCCCTCCCCATGAACCCCAATATACATCCCCCCAAACACCCCAAACACCACCAGCCACAAAACCACCAACACAAACCCCCACGCAAGCCTCCCCAACGAACCCACCATCCTCCTCTCCCGCCCCAGCTTATCCAACTTCACCATGACAACCCCATACCCAAGATACACCAACCCGGTCCCCGCCCCCAGCGCCCCCGTAACGAGCGCATACACCCACTTCGCATTCTGCGCATCCCCGTTCTTATGCGCCGCGCGCACGTCCCGCCCATACAGGCCCACGACGGTGAGCCCGAAGACGAGCTCCAGGAAGTGCAGCAGCAGCTGGCTGTGGGCTTTGAGGCGGGTCTTGAGCGGCGCTGGCGGTGGGGGTGGGGGGCCGCTGAGGTTGATCGAGTTGGGGTTCAGGGCGTCGTCATGGCCGTTTTTGTTTTTGTGGGTTTTGTAGGCTTTGTTGCCGATTTTGAACGCTTTGAAGAGGAGCATCCACCACATTTTTTGTTTGAGGTTCTTTTGTAGGTGGTGGGTGTGTTGTATTAGGTGTGGTGGCCCTGGGCTGGTATAGGAGACTGTAGAGAACTTCGAAGATGAATAGAGAGATAGGTAGATAGGTAGTATAGGTAGGTGGGTAGGTAGGTAAATAGCCAGAAGCAGAAGGAGATGCCCAGACTAAGACAGAAGAATTAAGAGAAAAAGACCCCAGTTCCCAAGGTCGAGAAGCAAGCGATCCAGCGCAGAGATATTAATTAAGTCCCAACAATGGGGAGGATATAATAGAAAGAAGGCGTGTGCCGAACGAGAGGAGTAAAAGAACTTTTTCTCAATGAAGAAAATCCCGGATAAAGGAAAGGCGAAACTGATTGATTGATTTTAAAAGAGGGAGGGGAGGGTGAGTTGTGATTGTCTATCTCGAGGATGGGAGTCGACTTACGCCCTTATATATGTCGTTGTTGGTATCAATGGATGGGTATACGGCTTTCAGTTGTTTTTGTCTTCATTCGCTTTATCTGTGGACTGGCCTGTCGTTTGAGTGTTACTATATTAAGTATCTTCTGTCTTTTTCTTTCTTTTTTCTTGGAGTGGTTTGCGCAGTTCCTGTCCATTCATTTGGGGGGTTGTATCCTCTGCTGAAACATAGAGATTTTGTTATGGGGTCGTTGGAGAGGTTGCGCGCGCTTAGTGATGTTGCTTTGGTTTTGGATGTTGTCTGTACATCCTCGGTAGGCGCTGAAGAATGGGTGGTGGTTGGGATTGGATGGTGATTGGGGAAGCGCTGGGGTGGACCGTCATCAATGGTCTAAATTTGGGACTGCAGAAGATAGTTGATTGGAGGATAATGCTTGTCATGATTAACCATACATACATACAAACGTCCATTTCTCAATCGCTGATCAATGGCAATCCATCCATGATTACCTGTGCTCCTGCCAAGACGAAGGACACATCCCAACAATTCATTGTTCCTCCCTATGCCCGTCATACATAACAAAATTAATTCGATACCGAATACCAGCCTGGTCTACAACCAGTAGCCAGGAAATCCGTGCATTACACTGCCGACGTCATGCTCATTAATATCTCTGAGTGGGGATTCATTATGCAACCAGCTGCTGAAAAAGAAGAATGATCAAAGGCTAAGATGCGATCATGCAAAAACCAAGACTAACAGTAACGCAAAGATGACAAAGGAAACGAAGAAGCACGGCCTCAAGGGTGAAACATCACTCCACACCAGTGGGCCGCGCATTTAGTTGTCAGGGTGGTCGAGTCGTCCCCCCGTCTGTCGCAGTTTTAGCGCCGGCTGTGGCCGTGGTCTGATCCCCCGGCGGTAGCGGAGTCTTGAAGCACGTCGGGGGTGCAGGTGGCGCCGGGGGTGGTGCAGAAACTGATTCCTCGTCGTCTTCATTTGCTATATAGTCATCGTCATGCAGTCCTGCCCCACCCATGGAGGAATGATCGACAGACGCCCGGTCATATCCCTGATCATACGCCGCTGGTTGAGCCGCCGCATTCTTCGTCGCGCTCTTCGTCGCCTTCTTGTTCTTCCGACCTTTCATCTTCGCTTTCTCCAGTAGTCTCTTCTTCTCTGCTAATCGCTTCCGTTCCTTGCGATCCTTGATCTCGTACTGCCGAATAAGAGCCTCGGGGGGACGACCAAAGATACTCTCATATTCGCAGAACTCACAAATCCAGATGTCTTCCATGCTCGGTGGGTGGTGAAGGTTAGCGTACTGCTGCTGGATCTTGCGCTGGCGTGCAGCCAAGGCGTAGATACTCCCTGGTGACCGCTTCTTCTTTTTACCTGCGGTTGTCGGATCGGCCCCTGGAGCTCGGTGTGACGATTGCCCTTGCTGATCTATCTGGGAAACGGCGTTGGGGCTGGTCTGCGTTCCTTGTGTAGAGAACCCTCTCTGGTTCTGTGCAGCCGGGGGTAGGGAATTGGGTGAACGATGTGTGGGGTACGGACTCTGCGCTTGCAGTGCCATACCCTTCGAGGAGTCGGACTCACACGTGAAGGTAAACTGGGTTTTTGTGGGGGTGGTAGTCTGTTGCTCCAACATGCTAACATTTCCCGATCCTCGAGGAGGCGAGGAGAATGCCGAGGCTGCAGCATTGGCTATAGCAGCAGAAATGATTCCTTGATCAGATTTTGCAGAGTCAACTGCAACAAGATGTGAGAAAAGTTCCCTAGGAGGGAAGGACATCCGAATTCACATGTTACTTACCTGGTGAAGACAGAACCCCGTCGCGGCGACCTGACGTCCGACCTTGTGGCCAACTAACCTGAGTATGGAGAGACAGCGAAGCCCTGCTTGTGCTGCTACGAGCGCCATGACGCCCAAGACGCCCTCTCCCCGCACCGGAAAGACCATTGGAGACTGGGGATGCAGGGCTTCCAGTGCCATAGAAAGTACTCACATGACTTCCTTCCCCAGATGTAGGTGCGGAGCTTGCGAGGCCCATGCTGGAAAATTCAGGTGAGAGCGTGGAGTGGTGACCCGCCAGAGTTCCCGGTGTGGGGATCTTGCGTTTCTTCTTATTGTTAGTGTTCTCAAAGGCATCGTACCCGTCGGGACCTGCCGAGGATGACTTGATTTGCGTCCGTGGTCCGTTACCCGGGTGTCCTGGTGGCATCGTCGGGGACGAGGACGATTCACGAAAGCCAGCACTGCGGCGCACAACCACTGGGCCATCTTCGTCGCCGCTCTCTGCGTCAAAACCGTTCTCATAAGGGTGGTGGTGGTCGCGCTCAGGGGTCTGCTCAGGGCCGTCACACTGCTGTACATAAACCTTAGACTCATTCACAGCTTCTCCATTATCTGTACACGTTCCGTAGAACAGTTGCGTCGCTGGGGGAGCCGGGGGGTAGAGGATGGACTCGGCCGCCTCGGAAGACAGCCGAGAGCGAAGAGTACGCTTGGGAAGGGGACGGATCAGCCTATCCGGATAGACAGGCGACGGAGTATCTGGGGCTGTGTTATACATCCCATCTGCGGGCGACAGTATCAGCAACTGAACAACCAGCAGATCCTCTCTAGGGAGCTTGTCATCCAGCCCTGGGACAATCTCCTGAAATGACACATATCCAGGCCAGATGATATCCCCCAGAGGAGTAGGTATCCTTGGTGAAAGGACATACTCAGCGTAGCAGTCATTATGCCAGTGTCTTCGTCTCTTTGAACCTCCACAACCACAGCCACACGGGCTTTTGTCTCCTGACACTCCAGTTTGCTGATGATGAATACGACTAAGTCTCCCCCACTTCCTTCACTCTATATTCTTTTTTTCTTTTTTCTTTTTCTTTTGGGATGTAGTGAGTGCTAGGATCCTTTTCTTTGAAATTATCTAGAGTGATATTCTTTGTGGCCAGACCTGTTATGGTGAGGGTGGAAAGAAAGGACGAATACGGAGATGATCCTAAACCCCAATACCCACTGTCAGTTGTCATGTTCTCAAATACTGCCAACCACAACTCGAGACTAAGTTCGGAGACGCGGTGCCTAATTTCTCCCAGGTTCCCACCGGCCTCAAACGCCAAGGACAGTTCGAAAGACAATCTAGAAGAATAGAAGAAACTCACCAAGGGCACTATTTACCGACACCGCTGATGCAGACTTTTTGGTAGCCCAAGTTGTCGGTAAGGAAGGACCCCGGCACAAACCCCGACCGTCACCTCAGAACAGAAAGGAAAGGGAATGACAAAAAATAATTGAGAAGAAATGACTGGCCAATCCAAACAATCGGAGAAGGGGGAAATGGAAACGGGAAACGAGGGGGAAGTATAGGGGAGGAAGAAGGCGGAGGGGTGTGGAATCGTTTCGTCGTTAATAATAATAACTAATGTTCATCTGGAGCTGCGGACTAGTTAGCGTCTGTGCCTCAGGCCAGAACGGGCCGCTAATCCCGGTTGGGTTGGGGATATCATCCGCATGTCGGCTGTCAATTTAATATCCACTCATATCACAGGAGACAATACCCGTCTCTTGGAATTCGCTTTTCTCTTCACAGTAAGACCGTGATGGGATTAAGACATATGTCATAAATTCTAATTCCATAACTAGTGTTACTTTGACACTGGTCTGTCGGCCGATCTCCCGGTTGACACTCCCAATGTCTATTCTACTATCACCCCTTGTTATCTCAACTCTCACATAGCTGCAAGGAATTGGCTCGCTCCTTCCGTATCATCCACCACATAGTCTTACAAGTATGTACCATAGCCTGAGCAAGTTGGAGTTTCTTGCGTGGTCCAAGGCAACGTTCCCACGAAGATGGGGTTGTTGGAAGGCACACACGTGTCATCCATAAGTTCCATGCGTGCTCTGAGACTTGGTTACCCAGTTGACGGGGTGGGTTTACAGCTGGCGTTGAGCCTTCCCTTACACACATTGGGATCAAGATACCAGTACCAGTATTTTCCCACAGTTCACGCATATTTTGGTCTGTCTCACATCCATCGACATCCTCGACGAGATCGCACTCACTTGCCATTCAGAGATAAGTACCGGTAAAAGAGTTCGTAAAAAATGAACAGTTTTATCAGCCGCATCCCGAAACATGTACTTGTCCAGTCTCACAATAGCGTTGCACCTATTGGTTGATGGGGTGTGAAATTTGTGGAAATCGTGGGACTTGGACTGCACTCTGAAGGGGATGCCATCTTGGGCTCGTGTCAAGCTAAGCGGTACCGGAGATTTTCGCAGGGGAAGGCTTTGAAGTAGGGTATTTTGCAAAAACTTGTTAGCTGTAGCCGAATGCGACAGAAGACTCGTTCCGTAGCCTAATAATAGGAAGGAGACGGGAGGAAAGGAATGTAGAGAGTCGATCACAGGATGACGATGTTATCAGCGCGGGGTTTTGGAAATGGACGGAGATAATTCCATCATGAGCGCGGGAACGCATTCAGCACCCTTACCATTTAGAAGGCTAGATATAGACGGTAATAGGTCATCTAGAGCATGCAAACCTCCATGTTAGTGATTAGAAAGGTAAAG